TCAGGGTGGGGGGGTTTCCTGAAGCCCAAAAAACCCCTCTGGATCCGCCACTGATATGTTAGCTTCTTATCACAATTAAGATTATGTTCAGTTTTACCGTGTTACAGAGTGTTACGGCGGCCGAAAGGCAGTCAAGAATGGGTTTGGCTCCCAGATAACAGAACAGGTAAATAACATTTTGATGAGTGGCTGGACTTTTACCTGACCTGAGCGGATACCGTAGGACCGTTGTGAAAACACAACTTGACGTTAGCTTATTGTTATTTGCATTCGTTTGGATTTTCGCACCTTAACCAGTTACGTAAATGCCCGGGTAAGAAAACTAAGGTCAGGATACAGGTACAAAGTGGCTATGTTTATCTGTGTATGGGGTCGTTTCCATATGCTGGGTAATTTTACACCTGTCGATTTGAGTCGATTTAAACCAGCGAAAACACCATTTCTGCATTTTTAATATAGAAAGATCAGCTTATAGAAACACACTTCCAAAAATGATGAGTAAAGTTTATACACGAAACCGTTTAACATATTGTCAAGCCATTCCTCAATTTGCACCAGCCTCGATTGTATTCGTGCACACATATGTGAGCAAGCAATAATAGTCCATATTTTTATCTTGGTGTGTAACGTTGTTCGATCCCCCTTTTTAACTGCACGTTTATGTCTATATAGCCGTATATCAGTTTTCTTGACTGCTGATTATAATTTAACGGACAATTTAAAGTTACACATAATAAGGGAAAACTAAACATCCCTAATTTACCTGCTGTCATTTTTAGAAGTATCTTTTTTCAAAAGAAATGCTAGTTTGGCGAAGAAATGAAATCAGAACCACCTCTGACTCTATATATTTGAACTATGTGTAATTTCCTGCTTATATTGATAGTGTATCCCCCAATGTTTGCCAGAATACAGAAAGGCTCTTTCTGGGTACAGTTACACCTCCTCAAGGGCTTACGTGACCCGGATAGTATTATGTGTTCTATTAATTGACCCACGTGACGGAAATATCAACTTGTAACGGAAAAGGATAGTATCTATTTATAGATAAAAAAAAAATGTAATTGAAACTATGGTTTAAATACATTATTTTATCTAAAATCTGTCCCATTTGGTGAACACTCAGTGCACAAAAAATGACTTGTGGCCTAGATGTGCTGCTTTCTTTATTCCAGTGTTTTTTTCAATATTGTCTCTTATATGTTTTTCTGATATACAGTTGTGAGACTTAAGTGACCAGCTTACAATAATGCCACCATGCCATCATTATAACAGCTCGGCTAGATAGCATTTCAAAATTGGACCAAAGCACCAGTTGAAGATGCCGTTATATGACCAATTTTGATGCAAAGACATACAAAAAATTGAATGTAGTAGATAAAAACTAATATGTTTAAAGTAAACAACATTGTAGACATTTCCATTGGACGTGTAATATAAAGCGATATGTTGTGTTACTAGCTTGTTGTTCTGTTTATAGTGGTTGTATTGGGCTAGACAAAGTCGGACCAACAATCAGCTTCGCAAACAATGATATCGTATCGCAAACAATGATATCGTATCGCAAACAATGATATCGTATCCAAAACGTTAAACATGTTCTGTTCGATTACTCTCAATATGGCTTTCATGTATTTACTTTTTTATTTATCTATAAATGTTCATCTCCTGCCGCCTTGTAATGCATTCATTCTATGCTATACATTTGGTAATAGTTCGGGTAAGGGATTTATTTATCGTACAACAACAAACCCTTCAACTAATGAATAACCTTTCAGTTTGCTTGCATACTTACTTAAAATAGTTGATTCGTAGATTTTCGTTATTAATATCGAAGACCTTTCCGACATCTCCTACATCCATTGTACCCTGTAAAAGAATGGGCCCCATGTAGATAATATGGATCCCACTGGATCACGCCTAGACTAAATATAAGGTTAATATATGGACGCCTGTTAATGCAATTTGAAATAAAGCACATTATTACAATCACGGGAAATGTTTATTACTGTATTAAATCATATTTTAAAAACACTTTCCCACGTTTGTGTTAAGTTGATAGAAATACTGTGCTTTGCCTTTTTTCTTCACATAACGGCAGCTGATTTTCTGTTATGTTTTATTTCTGCATGAATAGTCTTTCAATGTATCAGTCGGCGCTGACATAAACAATGCATACGAGAGGAAGTATGTGTAGTACCGACGTCAGGCAGGTTGTATTGTTTATTATAAACGGATCTTGTCATTTATCATTTTGTTCTAGCGGAGCTGTTTGTGTCACGTGATCAATATCATCCTTTATTTCTTTACAAGTAAATGCGATTGGAGAAAGTTTGATTTAAAATCATCACAAAAGATATGTTTAACTGTGATCATTATAGAAACTGAACAATATGGTAACATTACCTACCTTTACAATTACAACAATCATACCAATCGTCATAATGATACATTGTAAAACATCCGTCCACACCACGGCCTTGAGTCCGCCCTGTACAGAGATATAACAATACACTATAAAACATACGTCCACACCACCGCCTTGAGTCCGCCCTGTACAGAGATATAACAATACACTATAAAACATCCGTCCACACCACCGCCTTGTGTCCGCCCTGTACAGAGATATAACAATACACTATAAAACATCCGTCCACATCACTGCCTCGAGTCCATCCTGTACAGAGATATAACGATACACTATAAAGCATCCGTCCACACCATCGCCTTGAGTCCGCCCTGTACAGAGATTAATAGAATCTTTCACCCCCTTGGGAGTGAGATAGGAGAATCTCAACCCGAGGGGGAGGATTCTTAGGTTGCTAAACACGAGGCTTTGCTGAGTGTTTGGCAACTTAAGAATCTTTCCCCGAGGGTTGAGATTCCCCTATCTCACCCACAAGGGGGGTGAATGAATCTTTTTCTCTTACCCTGCTCTCCCATTGTGTATCATATACGCAATGTAATGATAACGGTTGACGTGACGTTGATGGATTGCTGACGTGACGTCATTGTATTGTTGAAGTGACGTCATGCCATTGTTATGAATAGGGGAATCCCCCCGTCTCAACCCTAGGGTGAGACTAATAGAATCTATCGCTAGTGGTTGTGTAAGATAGAGAAATCTCAACCCAAGGACTAAGATTTCTTGTCCAGAACGAGGCTTGCCGAGTTCTGGACAAAACATCTTAGTCCGAGGGTTGATATTTCTCTATCTTACACATCAGTAGCGATTGATTATTTTTCTCCCATATCTAACAGTATTTTAATGTGAAATAAAGGTAAACATGGACCCAAAACACATACAGGCAATTTGTTGATGGATTGTTGACGTGACGTCATTGAATTGTTGAAGTGACGTCATGCCATTGTTATGAATAGGGGAATCCCCCCGTCTCAACCCTAGGGCGGAGACAGATAAATCTAGCACCGGCAAAACGGTAGATAAATCTGTCAGGTGTGGGAGAAACAACTTACTATAGAGGTGTAGATAATCGCTGTTCCTGCTACGATGAATACAGAAGCCCAGAACGGAAAGTCTGTTACTAAAATATACAAATATTGTGTAAAACATGTATGTTAAGTGTTGTAATCAAACGAGATGTTTTGTCACTTAGACATCAACCTACAGAGTATCTGAGTGCCTAAGTGTAGCAGGACGTTTTTTAAGCGAACTCGAAAGCATAAAAACCTGTTTTGTCAAAATGTGTTAATTGGTTTGAGTTTTATGATAAATCATCGCCAAAGGATTAAAACATGCTTTTTTTGTTACTTTAACAAGGATTTGCAGTAAATGTAAATATCTTGCTCTATAAGATTATCTGTTTTCCTTCGTTAATATTTTTTGGTTTTAACAAAAAAAAAAAAAATATTGTATCATTCTTTCTGTTTTACTAACATTTTGTTTTATACATCTAACTAATTCTGCTACTTTTTATATACTGTTGATTATACTATACCNGTCAAACAGTTTTGTATTACAGCGTTGTCTACAAGGTAGTCAAACAGTTTTGTATTAAAGTGTTGTCTACACGGTAGTCAAACCGTTTTGTATTACAGCGTTGTCTACACCGCAGTCAAACNACAGCGTTGGCTACACGGTAGTCAAACCGTTATGTATTACAGCGTTGTCTAAACGGTAGTCAAACCGTTATGTATTACAGCGTTGTCTACACGGCAGTCAAACCGTTATGTATTACAGCGTGGTCTACACGGTAGTCAAACCGTTTTGTATTACAGCGTTGTCTAAACGGTAGTCAAACCGTTATGTATTGCAGCGTTGTCTACACGGCAGTCAAACCGTTATGTATTACAGCGTGGTCTACACGGTAGTCAAACCGTTTTGTATTACAGCGTTGTCTACACAGCAGTCAAACCGTTTTGTATTACAGCGTTGTCTACACGGTTTAAACAGAGCCGATTCTTACCTGCTTTTGTATTACAGCGTTGTCTACACCGCAGTCAAACCGTTTTGTATTACAGCGTTGTCTACACGGTTTAAACAGAGCCGATTCTTACCTGCTTCCAAAGCTATAGCTGGGCCGTACAGCACGATTCCCATGTAAAATATCTGTAAAAATTGGCATGCACAGTCTGAGTTATGGGATTGTTTTGCTCTGATAATTTTGTCTTGTTATGAAGCACATGTACTATTTTTATATATCTTCTATTTCAACACAATTTATTCTGTGATGACGTTATATTGTTGTATTGGTTTGTATTTATCCTGGTTCTTCTATATGTGTATATTGTTATTTTTTATGTATTAGTGTGTGGAATCAGTTTAATATGTTTGATCATACCAGTTTTTTGTCAAATCATCTGTATTGTTCTAATTAACGTCCATGTAAAATCAAACTTATCGTTCAGCATAGCTGTTGTGTGATATCTTGAATAGGATTCAACAGTTTTATAAATATGCAATATCATTTTTTTTTCACTTTATACGAAAACAATATACCTATTGAAAGTATCGCAACTTTTTAAAACAGTGTGTATTCACTCACTATCGATAGGTGAAACGCCCTGGCAGCGTGTATACACTCACAATCGATAGTAAAAGGTCACCGACAGCGTGTATACACTTACTATCGATAGATAAAACGTCCCCA